TCATTCTTTTAAATCCTTGAGAGCTTTTAAACAATGACATTGATATGAAGAGACTATCAGAGATTTACTGTACATTTTACTTAAAACAAAAAAATGAGCAGCAAACACATCATTAATTGAATTTCAGTGACATAGTTTTGGGCTAGGACCACAGAAGGCTGATTTTGATGTAAGTGAAACTAAATGAAATAAATAAATAAAGACGTGCCTTTTTTTAAAAAAAATCATCTCTGAATTGTGACCCTAATTGGCGAATACCAATCTGACTTCCACAAATATCCATTGTTAATTCTACTTTGAAAAATCCAGATACAATTTTTTATCTCATTGGCTAAACATTCTATATTTTTGATACTTCCACTAACCTAAAACCTAAGTATGAGGAGACCAATTACCACTGATCTCATTGAAACTTCTTTAATACACAGTTCTAACACTCTGTTCAGAATTATCTGAAGATATATTTTTCTGGAACTAACCTACAACCTAATGAGAGTGTGATATTTTGTACCAATGGTGGGCAAATACAGTAGATGTTGAAAACAAAAGCTACGAGTGGGGCATTCAGAAGTCTGAGATGAAAAATCAGTGCTGATTTTTCTTGCAAACACCCATCCTATGGGGAAAAAAGAATGAAGATTTGCATACAGGTAGTCCTTGACTTACAACCACTCTTTTAGCGATCATTCAAAGTTACAACAACCATGAAAAAAGTAACTTACAACTGGTCTTTGTATTTACAACTGTCACAGCATCTCCACAATTATTTGATCAAACCTTGAGCACTTGGCAAGCAGCTTGTATTTATGACTATTGCAGCATCCCGGGATCATGTGATTGCCATTTGAGACCTTTCCAGTTGGCTTCTAACAAGCAAAGTCAGTGGAAAAAGCTTGATTCACTTAACAACCTCATGCTTCACATAACAATTGCATTGATTTTCTTAACAACCATGACAAAAAGGTTATAAAATCAGGTGCAACTCACTTAACAACCACTTTGCTTAGCAACAGAAATTCTGGTCTCAGTTGTGGTTGTAATTTGAACACTACCTATATAGCATTCTATTGGAGGAATGAAAGTACAGAGTTATTTAGATTAAGTTAAGGAAACTGTAAATGCTGCTGAGAAGCAGTGGAAAAAATAATCAAGTTTATTCGCTGGGGCTATTATTATATCTTTAACGCAACCTAGTGATTGCATTGGTTTTTCACAAGGTATCCAGAAGAATGCAGGTTGTTGTGTCCTGAGCCTGCAAAAGCAGGCTCGGGACATTGCTATGGTCCCGGGCATTTGCAAGCTGCCCGGGACCAAACTGAGCTGCGCCAGACTTGTGTGCATGCGCGAAGCACGAAAGTGCGCCATTCCCTGTAAGCATTTTGCCCGGGGATCTGGTCATGAGATAAGAGGCCTGCGAGTCTCTGAGTTCATTGTTGGAGTGAGCAGAAGAGAAATAAAGAGCTGTTGGTTACAGAATGCATGCTCTTCATTTGCCATTAACTCAAGGACTTAACACTGGCGACGAAGATGGGATGACTTGCAAGCTTAAAGAAGAAAAGCTGTAAGACTTACCCGAGGAGTCCTTGAGGAAGGAAAGATGGTGTTAAACTCAGCGTCTGGCCTGCCAGTACAGCGTCGCTGGTGGTAAGCTCAGCTGATAGACTCCTTCCCAGGCCTAGAAGTGAGAATGGCGAAGATAGGTCGTTTGTCCGAATTCGATGTTGCCCACCCAGAGAGATGGGAGTCCTATGTTGCTAGAGTAGAAAATTACTTTAGGGTGAACCAAGTCAGAAAAGATGGCTTGAAGGCTGCAAGTCTGTTGTGTGTCTGTGGTCAGGACGCCTTTGAAATTGCGGAAAATTTGGCGGCCCCTGCTCCTCTAGAGTCTGTAACGTACACAGACTTAAAGAAGCTATTGAAAGAACATTTCCAGCCCAAGATGACTGTCATTGCATGGAGACACACATTTGAACAGAGGGACCAGAGGGCAAGTGAAACAGCCAAGGAATTCATTGCAGCCTTGAGAAGAGCAGCCAAACCCTGCAAATTCAAAGATTTGGAAGAAAGGCTGAGAGACTGTTTTGTATGCGGGTTAAGGAACAGAGACTTAAAACAGAGATTCTTTGCAAAAGAAGATATTTCATTCCAAGATGCTTTGAGAGATGTGACGACTGAGGAGGCAGCAGGTGGGGTGGTCAAGAATATGCGGCCCATCAGGAACAACCCAGAAGCAGTCTCTGTGCACCATGAGGGTGTCCAGGAAGGCTCTGAGGAAGATCCTGAAGAAGAGGTGGATCGCCTTTACCAGTCCACGGAAAGGAAAGAGAAGGAAAGCAAAGAAAAAGCTCCAGCTGTGTCCAAATGCTTCGGGTGTGGAGGTCGACATAAGAGGGCCAACTGCAGGTTCCGTTCCACCATCTGCAGAGTGTGTGGCAGGTAAGGCCACATAGCATCCATCTGTCTGGGCCGCCAGAAGGTACAACCTCGAGAAGAATTGCGTCTGAAAGGTACCAGGGTCCCCAGCCAAAACAGGGTGGGTTTCTGCGCGTCGTGCAGAAATATTTGCAGAACAGGCACACACAAACCACTTAAAAAAAGCTGTCACTTAAGGTGAGGTTGCAAGGAGTCCCTTTGGTCATGAAGCTGGACACTGGGTCTGCTCTTTCAATCATTTCCATTCATACATTTAGGAAGATTTGCAACAGCAGTGGGTTCCAGGCCAAACTTAGGCCATCCAACATAATCTTAACAGATTTTCAAAATTCCAAGGTGTGTGTAAAGGGGGAGGCCACCCTTACAGTGCAGCACAAGGATTTTGAAGGTCCATTGGATGTGTTGGTTGTTGGGGATGAACGAACGAGTCTTATAGGACTCGATTAGTTTGAGGCCTTGGGAATCCAGGTTACTGGGCTGCAATATTTGCAAATGTTGGGCCTAGCAGAAGTCTGCGAGAAGTTTGCAGATGTGTTTAGTCCACAGCTTGGGTCCTACAAAGTGCCTCCAGTTTCATTGAGGCTTGACCCTACCATCACACCCATTAGGGTTAAAGCTAGGAGAGTACCTTTTGCACTAAAGGGTAAAATCGATGCTGAGCTGGATAAATTGATCCAGCAAGGCATTTTAGAGCATTTTAGATTCCAGTCCATGGGAAACCCCCATAGTCACGCCTCTCAAGGCTAATGGGGATATACGCATACGTGCAGACTACAAGTGCACACTAAACAAGGCGCTGCAACAGCATGCGTACCCAGTGCCAGTTGTCAGCCACCTTTTGGCCTCCCTCAAGGGGGGGTGAATTTTTGCAAAGCTTGATCTAGCACAGGCATATTAACAGTTACCTGTTGCTGAAGCAGCTGCTGAAGCACAGACCATTGTAATGCATAGGGGTGTATTCAAGGTCAAGAGACTGCAATTTGGGGTAAATGTAGCCCCTGGCATATTCCAAAGTGTCATGGAGAGTACACTTAGGGGTATCCCTGGAGTTTGCCACTATTTTGATGATGTCCTTATTGCTGGAGAATCTACTCAGAATTTAACAGAGAGGTTAAGGGCTGTTTTGCTTCGTTTCCGAAGAGCAGGCCTAAAACTAAAAAAAGACAAGTGTAAGATAGGAGTCACTTCTACTGACTTCTTAGGGTTCAGGATAGATGCTCAAGGTATTCATCCTGCTGAATCTAAATTGAAGGCTATACAGCAGGCTCCTAGCCCCAAGTCTAAAAGTGAGCTGCAAGCTTTTCTGGGTCTTTTGAATTTTTACAATGCATTTCTTCCCCACAAAGCTGCAGTAGCTGAACCTTTACATAGGCTTTTAGACAAGCAGGCATCTTGGCAGTAGACAAAGGTCCACAAAAAGCTTCAATGAGGTCAAGGCTTTGCTCACGTCTAATGCTGTGCTTGCACTTTTCAATAAGCAGTTGCCTGTCTGCATTGCCTGCGATGCATCCCCTTATGGGGTGGGAGCTGTACTCAGCCATTTGAGGGCTGATGGGACCCAGGTTCCTGTAGCATATTACTTCAGGACTCTATCTTCTGCTGAGTGTAATTACGCTCAAATAGACAGGGAAGCATTGGCCATAGTAGCTGGAATTAAGAAATTCCATGATTTTTTATATGGCTGACATTTCACGGTCTACACAGACCATAAGCCTCTGCTAGGGTTGTTTACAACCAACAAACAAACCCCTCATATTATTTCCCCTAGAATGCTGAGGTGGTCTATTTTTTTATCAGCATATGATTATTCATTAATTCACAAACCTGGTAAGGAAATGGGCCACGCTGATGACCTAAGTAGACTACCTCTGAAGCTGGTAGAAGCAGACCCTGCTCCTGCCATCAATATTCTCTCCATTCAGGAGTTGCCTGAATCTCCCCTCAATGCCAGGGATGTGGCTGCAGAAACTGCCACAGATCTCACACTTACATGTGTGCTTTCATGGGTTTTGTCTGGATGGCCTGACAGAAGTCCAGGTACTGAGTTCCAAAGCTTCTGGCTCAAGAAGCATGAGTTATCCACCTTTAAGCATTGCCTGTTGTGGGGCAGCAGGGTAGTTATCCCTGCCTCCTTGAGACCGAGAATCTTGGTCTCTCTACATGAGGGTCATCCTGGCATTGTCAGGATGAAAGCACTTGCATGCAGCCATCTGTGGTGGCCCGGGCTTGACAAGGCTATAGAGGCTCAGGTTCACGGGTGTCACTTGTGCCAGCACTCATGGCCAGAAATGCCTCAGGCCCCTGTGCATAGGTGGGAGGAAACCCAATCACCTTGTTCCAGAGTGCATATAGATTACGCTGGGCCCTTTCAGGGGCAATTGTTCTTGGTCCTTGTTGATAGCCATTCAAAGTGGCTGGAGGTTGTTCCTGTTTCCTCCACTACTACTGCCAGGACAATCCAGGTGTTGAGAGGCATTTTTGCAGCACACGGCCTTCCAGATGTTCTGGTTTCAGATAACGGTCCTCAATTCACTTTTTCTGAGTTCCAGGCTTTTCTTCAAGCCAACATGATCCATCACACGACTTCAGCTCCTTTCTACCCATCCACCAACGGTATGGCTGAGCGTATGGTGCACCAATGATGCCCTCAAGAAACTGACTTACGGTGACTGCCATCACAGGTTAGCAGACTTTCTTCTTGCACACTGCACCACACCTTGTACATCCACTGGAAAGAGCCCAGCTGAACTCCGCTGGGGTCGCATACTAATAACTAAACTTGACAAATTGCACCCTGATCGGGTGGTGCCTTCAGGCTCACAGCCACGGGCACCTAGGTGTTTGCAAGTGGACGCTCCAGTTTGGACCTGGAACTACGGGCCCAGTCATCTTTGGATTCCAGCTGTGGTCTGCAAGGTCTCTGGACCTTTGTCCTATGAGGTGTCTTTAGACGATGGCCACATTCTCCGGCGGCACATAGATCCGCTGCATACACGACTGGACTCTTCCTCTTCTGCTCCTGCTTCTTCTTTGGGTGGGGGGAGGAGGGTTATAATGTGCATGTTGAAGGTTGCTGTCAGCAGTCAAGGGCAGCTGAGGAGGCCGGAGAAGGCCCCTCTCAAGGTTCCGCAAGTGTGCCCAACAGGAATTCATGGGGACAAGGAACAATGCCCACACCATTACTTACTCCAGCCAGGGAGTCACACAAGGGGTACCCACACTATTCACATACACACTACAGCACTCGAGACAGGGAGACTAACCGGGTGTATCCAAACAAATCAAAGACTACAAGAGAACTGGCATCAACCCAAGGAAACTGGCCCAATTTTGCAATTGTTCCCAGAAGAAAGTCACTGGGAAAGGGGGTAGACAGAGAGGCAAATCCTGACTCTGGTACCTCTGGCACAGAATGGGGGACCATAGGGTATTGGGGCACCACAGCTATCCCGGACAACCCTTCTGCTGGGCTTGGGAGTGAGGGACTGTGTTCCCAAGGAAGGTCCACTGTGGACCTGGAGAATACCACAAGTCCATGAAATATGAGTGGGACTCAGAGAGTCCAGCCAGCCTACACTCAGGCAGGTCAACCGGGTACAGGGAGGAGCGAAGTCCTGGTCTGCCAAGCCCGGTGGGCGAGCAAGCAGGCCAGGCAATAGAACCAAGGTCACTGGGACTACCAGGGCAGTAAAGAGGGGGCACCTCAACTCCGGTAATTGAACAGGAAAGCCAAGGGTGTTCCCAAGGTCCGAGGAGGTCGCAATGGGTTAAACACTCCGGTAGTTGCACTTTATGTATTGTTTTTGCACTTAAATTGAAATTCAGTTACCACTGAATTCTTGTCATCTTAGAAAATGGATGAAGTAGCTGTTAATCCCACTGATTTTGCCTTCATGTGTTTATTGTAATACAGATATGTAAACTGCCCTGACAGTTGGAAACACAATATTGGATTTTTTTCTCACTTCCACTCCTCTCTGTAGTATCTTATTCTAAGGACAAATGTTAGGAGTTTGGGTATAAGTATGGTGTGTAGTAAAAGGAATCTGTGGTGATTGCAGTCCTGTGGTTGTGTGGGTTTTTCCCACTACACCGGAGACATTATGCATCATGCAGTATGTGGTTCAAAAGTTACCACATTCAAACTTAACTTCTGAAACATTCTTATATAATGCTGCTGAGCAGTAAAGATCTCATTGGCAGAGAAAACTAATAGTACTAGCTGTAACAACCAGAATATCTGCAAAACACTTTACTATCATTGTGCCTCCCTGGCATTTTATGTTTTGCTGCTATTGCCATTTTTTAAAAGAGAAAACAGATGGAGTCTTTTGTGAATCTAAGAAGTGTCTGTCCATCCTTCTCAAACATTTAAGCCAGTCTGCATTGACTTTTCATATTGTAGAAAGACTGACATTAGCACTAGGAGTTGGGTTTATTTTTCCCCTGTCTTTTCTTTTCTTTTTTTCAAGTTAACATTGTTGAATCTATATTATTTCATTGTAGAAACTGATTTTTTGTTGATTAAATTGCTGATTTTTATGTTTTGAACATACCAAACTGAACGAAGATTTTAATATTAGTTCCTTTAAGTAGAAGGAGTAAATATGCAACACCTTCTACACACACACACAAACACATACACACACACACACAAAACACACACACACAGAGAGAGAGAGAGAGAGAGAGAGAGAGAGAGAGAGAGAGACAGAGACAGAGAGAAACAGAGATATAGATATAGATATAGACACAAACACACAAACAAATTCCCAATGAATTGCTTAGTATTCACTTGGCCTACAAAACTTACAAAGCCTTTTTGGCCTACAAAAACAGAGAACTTTTATTAGAAAGTCATAATTTTTCAGGGTGGGAGACAGCTAATTCTTTCAGATAGCATGGAATTTCTTATGTGTATTCCTAGGACAGTAAAGTAATCCATTTTCTGCAAAATAGTAGGAATATTTTGTAGGATAGGAAACAGGGTATTTTCAAAATAGGAATATTCTAAAAATATTCATTTTTATGATTCTCAAAAGATAATTTTGTATGATACCAGAGGACAACCATGATCAGAATCCCCTCTTTCTTGTGGTCACACATAAACTGCAATCATATCACTATTTAATATTGCTGTTTCAATTTTAGATTTGAGGAACAGAATTGGAAGCAGTGTGTCCAGTATGTTCATGATCATGGATACATAATTGGTTGTGTTTTTAAAATTGAAGGACGTGAATTTGATATTTCAATCAGAGATGCAAATGGGACACAAGAACTTTACCAGGATTTTAAACTAGAAAGCATAAAATTCTGTAAGTCTATATTTTTATATATTAGGAATCTATTCAACTGACAAATATAATTATGGGGTACTTGGTATTTAATATAATTGTAATTGCATTTGTGATTTGATATCATATTTCATAGCAAAAACATGGTAAGCAGTCATAAGAATGTGACTTAATTGCTGGATTAATTCTAGACTTCTTGTCTTAAAATTTTCTCAGCTCTTCACTGAGTTGAACATTTCAGTTGATTGAGATTTTAATGAGTCTTTGTTACTCAACAGGAAATGTGAGAAAATTTATTAAAATCACTTTTATTCTCTATAACACGGTGGTCCTCAATCTTTCTGGCTCTGTGGACGAGCAGGGGCAGTGGTGAGCAGCGATGGCAATAGGGGGGAGAGGGATTGGTTTTGTGTGTGCAACCTAATCCCATGCATACACAAATAGAGCTCTGTGTGCTCATCCACCACTTGTGTGGTCCAGTTCCCAATGGGCTGTGGACCAGTAGGGATTGGAGGTTGGAAGACCCCTGCTCTAAAGAATTAAGTATTTAATATACAAAGGTTATTTTTAACAATCTTTGCCATAAACATGCTGATTTGGCAATTTTGTTAAGACAATATCTCCCTATTTTAAATTGGAGCCATAGGAAACTGTCTTATTCCAAGTTAGACATTGTTCCATCTCACTATTAGCAGCTTTGTAGAGTTTCAGCTGGATTTTCTCTCAACTTAACTTGGGATAAGTCTAGAATAGTTTGCTTTCTGACTACAGAAAGATTAGAGACTCTAACACTAGTGTCATTTTAGTTCTTTCCTTTATCTTGAAAAGAGTGCTGAATTTTCTACTGCAAATTGCAGATTACATATTTAATATAGAGAAATCTATTCTCGTGACTGAGCTACCTTGCAAAAGGACTGTCAAAAATGATAAATCTTGGCCTGAGAAATTGCTAGATCTATTCTTTCACAATAAGTAAACTGAAATCTGGATAATATCTTTTCCCAGTAGCTAAAATTTTCAAGGGCTGTAAGCCAAAGAAGCAGCTCAAGTTCCTAGTAATGTAGAGCTCTTGAGTTATGAACTAGAAGAAAATTTAAGTTTAATTCTTGACTGCAGAAAGATATTCCTAAGTGAGACAAAATAGGAAGAAAGGATTACCAGCCACCTGAAATACAATTTTGAAGGAAAAAATGGGAGAGAAATCTAATAATGAATCTTTTCCCTGATTCCCTTTAGACTCCAGGCAGTTTAACCTGCTGCCTATCCATACCCTACAGAGAAGAAAATTTGGTTTCTTCATTATATATTTCCTTACAATACCTGAGAAAATGCTAATTTCTCAGCAGTTGCATAACATCCTGCTTCAGCATCAGGGCTTCCTAAAAAAAGTAATTTTAAATATAACCAAGAGCATGCAAACACATAGAAGCCATCAATTTAAAAAAGTTAATGAGCTACAAATATTACTAACCTAGTTTTGCTCCTACCCTTTATTCCCAGTAGACGTAGTACTGCCCTATCAGATCACCTGCAACATTCTGGATTTTAAAATTTTATAGTAAAACCTGGCGCCTTACATATTTAAAAGATCATTATAATTCCTGTACATAAAAATGTTAATGCATAATCAAAAAGGACTTTTACAAACATTATTAAACATTTGGATTCTTGCAATGTAATAAGTATTAAAAAATGAAAAGCATATTTGTGGGCATCTAGAAAAGTTTCAATCTGTACTGATTTATTTCCATTTTTCCCAGTGAAGCCCAAATCTCCTCAAAATTTAACCTTCCTCTGGGAACACGACAAAGTGATCATAGAATATAAGCCACCTTTCTCTCTACATTGTTTTATATTGGAATATCAGTACAAAAGTGACTTTGCTGAAGATTGGGTATGTGTCCGATGGATTTTTTTGTTACATGATTCAAAAGTAAAGGGGATGGAAATGTTGAAAAGACAGTTAACTATATTTAAAAGTCTGTCATATACAACAGATATAGAACTGTTCTCTGTTAAAATAGAGTGGGATGTGGAACAACAGATTGAAATAAAATGCAAAGATGCATTAAGGATGAACATTAGAAGGAATTTCATGATGGTAAATTTTATGTATTGGGGTTCGCGGCATTGAAGTGACACACAATACAGTAAAGGACACAACAGTAAAGTTTCTGTACAAGCAGAATAGTTTGCCTAGGATACTGGTGGACACCCGCTTTCTGAAGAATTTCAAATAGATTGGAATTCAAATGGCTGAATGAGTGTGTGACTAGAAGATTACATGGTTCCTTCCAGCTTATATGTTCCAAGATTCTATGAGGTTTCACACTAATGTGATGAATCTCATAATGATTATTTTCCTGGTGATTACAGTAATCACAAAAAACATAGGCTTGCAAACACTCAGATATTTCTTCTTAATTGCCAATGTAAAAATAGAAAGATGGGAACTTTAAAAAAAATGATTTGTGCTTAATTGCTTTATGGTCCATGGTTCTCATTATGTTCTGAATTGTGGTGCAGGTGATTGGATTATAAATGAGACTGATGAATTTAACATTTTACATTATTGGTATCTGACAGAAAGAGTTGATCTTTCTAATAGATTTGTGTATTTCAAAAACCTTTGCTATCTAATCTTGGTTTTCCTTATATCTACTAGGATATACTGGAAGAGGAAATGCTCATAGTGATCAAAATTAATAATGACTGCCACTCTTGCCGTTCAGTTTAGGAAAAATGAAAGCTGCAAGTTTGAAATACAAAGTTTGGATCCAGCGAAGTGCTATTCCTTCCAGTTTAGAGCGAGATTCAGATGCAGTAGTTCTTCTTATCCGAGTGAATGGGGACCAAAAATACATTGGAAAAATGGCAGCTCTATAGGTAAAAACTGCTAAATGTTATTTCCCTATCATCATCATCATCATTACCATCATCATCACCACCACCATCATCATCATTGATTCTCTGATGTTTAATATTTATTCATGTATACATATGTATAATTACCAGGGTCATAGTCTCAGCCTTGTGAGGTACTCTGGACAACAAGCACACACAGAAGTACTACTCTCAACATTATTGTAAGGCATGGGTGTCAAATTTGCCACGTGACGTGTTGCGATGTATCACGACTTTTTGCATTGGGTGCGGCTTCAGTATAATGAAACTGGCCCATGGGTGGCAGTTTGACGCACCTGTATGTAAGGTTACATTAACAAAATCATGTTCCTTGTGTTGGCTCAGTCTGACCCTTTTCTTGTCTGCAGGAATTATACATGTATCTGAAAGTCATTCCCACTTATCATTCCATTTAGATCAGTGGTTCTCAACCTGTGGGTCAGGACCCCATTTGGGGTCGAACGACCATTTCACGGGGGTCGCCAAACAATGCAGTCCACCATTTTTTCCCCCTTTTCCTTAGCTGTGCTACTCCCTTTTATTCTATTGGCTTTTGAAAGCCAATAGAATAGACTCTCTTGAATAGAATCTAATTCTATTGGCTTTCAAAAGCCAATAGGAATTGTCCAGGCTGTCTCTGCCCTGCTGAGCCCACCAAAAGTCCCATTCTGCAAACGGTGCTGCACCAGTTGAGTAGTCTTCGACTTATGACCGGTTGAATAGTCCTCAGCTTACAACTGGTTGGGGGTCATGGCATTAAAAAGGTTGAGAACCACTGATTTAGATCATCTCCCCCTGATGCAGCCTTTAGAGCAGCAGTAATAGCACTAAATCTGGGTTTGGCAGGTTATATTATTATTGTCAGAATCCAATCATATTTCATCTTTAATTATCAAATATAGAAACTCCCAATTCTGCCTTCTTTGGATTCTGCCATAAGAGGGAGAGAAGGGGGAGAACAAAGGGGCTTTATGGCCCTCACTTCCTTCAGTACACTTCAAAGAGCTGAATGCTGAATGTGTGTTTATTGTAACATCAAAGCATTAGCACTAGAGAACCTTATCATAACAAAGCAGGGTACTTGCCTTTCATGTAGTTACCTGAAGTCTCCATTCAGACGGAAGAAAGAAGAAAGGGGGTGGAATTGTGATACTTGAAACTATCACTGGAAGGGGGGTTGATTGGGTGGGACTACTGGGGAACCCCTTAAAACCTTGAATGGGAAGAGCTTGAACCCCAAGTCCTGTCTAGCATGCCTGCAACCATTTTCTCTTAATAAAGGATTCCTGTTGGAAGAATTATTCCAAGAGTTCTGTCTTCTTAAGATGCAAAGTGGGGTGGGTCCTTACATTAGACAGGACTTGCAAAATTAATCCACCTGGAAGGAAGACCCTTGCCGGGGGATTTTGCAAAAATTTACCATGTCAGACAATGGAGCAAGAGAGGGGGAAAACTCCCTGGAAAGAGAGCCGCTGACCCAGTTGGAACCTTGCCAGATGTTGGGATCCGAGAGGCCAGATTCCTCAGGAGAAGAAGTGGTGGAGACACAGGACCACAAGCCTCGCTGGTCGATGGGCGTTGGAAAGAAAAGTGAGTGGGGAAAGGAATCAAGAAAGGTGACCCTGAGACGGGGGACCAAGCAACCAGAATGGAAGCAGGAGATGGAGAAATCCCTGCACGCAAGTGAAGAGGGAGGAAGCTGGGCACCGTACTCAGACTGGATCCTAGAGAAAGCTATTGACCTGATGAAGAGAACTCTCAGCTCCCTAGGAGAGGAGAATACTGAACCCTACGGCCGCCCCAGTTCCTGGAGCCGCAAAGGGAGAGACACCGAGGGGGACATGGAACCTGCAACCCCAGGGACATCTACTGATCCAGGAGCTCCCACCCCCTACCGGACCACAGATGGCAATCTGGACGGAAGGCACTACCACCCACAACAGAGGCACCGATCCATTCCAAGACGTCCACCGTTGGAAGTGAAATTCAAAGGGGAGCCAACACGCTTGGGGTTTTTCCTAACCCAAGTCCTCAGCTACATGGAGGAATATGGGCAGGATATTCCCAGCGACAAAGCCCGCATCCGGATCGTGCAATCTGCCCTGGATGGACCAGCTGCGGATTGGGTAGTGAACTTGCATGACTCCAATGCCCCAGAACTCAGTAACTTCAACCGTTTCATGTCCTCTTTGAGAAGACGATTTGAAGACCCCCTGGCTGATCGCAAAGCCCGTGAAAGAATAACAACGATGAGGCAGGGCAAACGCCCAGTGGCTGAGTATACACAAGAATTCCGGGCCATTGCAGCAAACTGAATTGGCCAGAAGACATCCTCCTGGCCATTTCAAAGACGGACTAAACTATGATCTATATGATGCTTGCCTGCCCCGAGGGGACCCACATCGACTGAGGAATGGTACGTCTTGGCAGAGGAAGCAGAGATCGACATATTGAAGAGGCACCGCCGAGGAAAACAATGGAGCCGCCCCCCGCCTGAGCTGACACACCAACCGGTGAAATCATCGGATACAGCCAAGAAGCAAATGGGGTGTTTCAAGTGCGGAAGAGAAGGGCATCGAGCTGTAGAATGCCGCTCAAAGGCCCCCCAGCACAACCCAGACAGATCCCCAATCAACAAACCCGGAAAGTATTCAGCTAAGCCAAAAGAAACGGCCATGAGAATGATGGAAATTGCAGAAACCCCCACCTCTGCTCACCAAGGGGAAAGGACTCCAGCCTACACCACAGGGCCGGTGGATGCCTCAGATGACAGCTCGGAGGGCGAACCCCTGGTAAGTGGATGCATCACACCCATCTTCAAAACAGTGACTATATTAATCCCCCCCATGCCCGAAGCTGTGAAGGTGAAAGCCTTAATAGACTCTGGCTGTACCCGCTGCCTCATTAGCCCAACACTAGTGGGGAATCTGGGCATCCCATCCAGGAGACTGGAACAACCAATCTCATTTGGCCAGCTAGATGGATCCATAGCAGGGGGGGTGCCAGCTACCCTAGCCACCCTGGGCAACCATGAAGAGGACTTAACGTTTGTGGTGACCCAGGTATGGAATGCCCAATGATTCTAGGGATGGAATGGTTGAAAAAATGGAACCCCTGGGTAAATTGGAGGACGACAGAAATCAAATTCCCGAAGGGGGACCCTATGGACTTAAAACCCCAAGGGAGGCTACCAGAATCAAGAATAGAAAAAGCATCCATAGGAGAGGAAAAAAGATTAACAGAAATACCAGAGGAATATAGGGACCTTGCTGAAGTCTTCAGTGAGGAGAGGGCGAATGAGCTTCCCCCCCACCGACCCACAGACTGTACCATTGAATTCAAGCCTGGGGCAAAACTCCCGAAGCCCAGATTATACTCCATGAGCCCAAAGGAGAAGGAGGAAATGGAAAGATTTATAAAAAAAAACCTGGAGAGAGGTTTCATTGAGCCAGCCAAGCCTAAAGTGGCTGCCCCGGTCCTTTTTAGAGAGAAGAAGGATGGCTCTTTACGTTTATGCGTGGATTATAGGGCCCTGAATACAATCAGTGAAAGCAACCTATACCCGCTGCCCCTCATGAAAGACATGCTGTCACACCTATCGAAAGGGAAAATTTTTTCTAAACTAGACTTAAGGGAAGCTTACTATCGAGTGAGAATCAAGGAAGGGGACGAATGGAAGACTGCATTTAACTGCCCCATGGGGTGCTATCAATTCAAAGTCTTGCCATTTGGATTACAAGGGGGCCCTGCAGTCTTTATGCAATTAATCAATGACGTTCTAAGGGAGCACCTGTTTAAGGGGGTCCTTGTTTACTTGGACGACATTCTTATCTTTACTGAAACAAAAGAAGAACACGTCAAACTTGTCAGAGCGGTTTTAAAGAAGCTGCGAGCCGCTCACCTATATGCCAAACTCTCAAAATGCGAATTCCACCAGGAAAGGATAGACTACCTAGGTTATTACATATCCCTCCAGGGCATTGAAATGGACCCAGAGAAGGTCAGAGCAGTATTAGATTGGGCACCACCCTGCACAAGAAAGCAACTACAAAGTTTCCTGGGCTTTGCAAACTTTTACCGCCAATTCATCCCCTCATTTGCCCAGATAGCCTTGCCCCTCACTAACTTACTAAAAACGAAGGGAGCATCCTCAGTAAAACCTAGCCAGCCACTAACATGGACAATGGAGTGCCAAGCAGTTTGAGAGACTAAAGAGACTTTTTTCTGCCGAACCAATACTAAGGCACCCAGAATGGACAAGCCCTTCGTAATACAGGCAGATGCAAGTGATGTGGCAGTGGGGGCTGTGCTATTACAAGAAAATGATGATGCAGTATTGCAACCCTGTGCATATACATCCAAGACACTCACGGAAACAGAACAGCGCTGGCCCGTATGGGAGAAGGAGGCTTATGGGATGCGTTGGGCATTACTCACGTGGCGACAGTTCCTGGAAGGCAACAAAATCCCCTTCCAGGTATGGACTGATCACAAAAATTTAGAAGCCCTGAAAACTTCCAGGAAACTCAATCCCAAACAAGCCCGCTGGTCCCAGCATTTTCACCAATTCCAATTTAAGCTCAAACATTTACCAGGAAGAAAGAACTTCCTGGCAGATGCACTATCTCGCATGCCCCAATATAACAGCACACGAACCACAGACTCTAGACCAATAATGGCAGAGTCACAACTGGCAGCGCCAGTAACCACAAGAACCCAAGCCAAAATAAAACCACAACTGGACAGCCAAACTGGGATTGAATTCAGAAAAAGTTTGGAAACAGATGAATGGTTCCAGAAAAACAAAAATGTGTGCACAATGAGAGACGGGTTGCCTTGGGTAGGGGAAAAGTTATATATACCAACAACTCAAAGAGTAACTTTCATGCACCTTTGCCATGACACAAAATCAGCAGGGCATTTTGGATTTGTAAAAACTTTACATTTAATTAAACGGCAATTTTGGTGGCCATCCATGAAAAAGGACATTGAAAGTTATATAGCCAGTTGTCCAAAATGTGCCACGGCAAAGAGGTTGCAAGGGAAAGTGCCAGGACTATTGCAAACAGTGGCAAGTCCCTCAGCCCCCTGGAGAGAAATAGCCATGGATTTTATAGTGGAATTGCCAGAAAGCAATGGGAATACTGTGGTCTGGACGGTCACGGACTTGTTTTCCAAACAGGTGCACTTTATCCCTTGCCAAAAGATTCCCACTGCAAAAGCCTTAGCAAAACTTTTCATCCAACACATTTACAGATTGCATGGGGCACCCCAACGCATCATCTCTGACAGGGGGGTGCAATTTACGTCTGCATTTTGGAAGGAATTTTTATCCCTCTTAGGAACCACTCAGGGACTGACATCTAGCCACCACCCTCAAGGAAATGGGGGGGCTGAAAAAATGAACTCCGTACTTAAGCAATATTTAAGATGTTTTCTTAGTTTCCAGCAGACCGAGTGGGCGGACTTACTCCCTTTTGCAGAAGTTGCCTACAATAATGCAGTCCACTCCAGCACAGGTTACACTCCTTTTCAAATAGCCACCGGTCAAAGTTTCAACCCCATGCCAGAATTAACCCCAAACGAACCAACGATCCCCTCGCTGAAAGAATGGATGGAGAAATTACAAAACACCTGGCCAATAGTCAGAAAAGCACTAGATGAAGCTAGGCAGGCATATAAAACACAAGCCGATAAAAAAAGGGTTGAGCCTACACCATTCATTATAGGAGAAATGGTGTACTTATCTACAAAATACCTAAAGTCCCTACAGCCCTGTAAAAAACTTGGACCAAAATATATAGGACCTTTTCCAATTAAAAGAATCATAAATCCAGTAACAGTAGAATTAGAATTACCCAAAAATCTCATTATATGCCTCACTAGTTAACCCAGTAGAGAATCAGGATGTCCCAGATGGTTTGATCTTAGATAGAAGAATAATGCTCTTTTGCCTCTTTCCCAGTCTGTTCATGCTGATATTGAATGTGAGGACAATCCAGAATAAAACCTGATTTTCTAATTTAACTATGGATTAGAGCAGGACTTTCCAAATTTGGCAACTTGTAGACTTATTCCCATGACTAGCTGGAGAATTCTGAGAGTTGAAGTCCACACGTCTTAAAATGGTCAAGTTTGGAGACCTCTGGATTAAAGGCTGAGCTAGTACTGTATATAAGAGCCAGATGGAGAAAAGGGAGAAGCTAGTCTTTTCCAATTTAATCCCTTTGTAGTACTAAAATAGACTTAAGGTTAGGGAGGGTTAGGGAGAGGATGTTGCTGTAGCCTTTTAGAGTGTCCATTGCTTTCTTCAAGCTTTCAATTCATGTAAATACCAATCTGGACTGCTGGACAATTGAGATGTATTACAAATTTTGAGGATAGACTGTGTATCTGCTGCTTCTTAGTCTTCTTACTTGTTCTATCTTAATTGGCTTTTCTGTGTGGCAGAGGGCCTTACTCCAGAGAGAAAGAGGATGGATCTCTCTCTCTCTCTTTTAAACAAAATTAATTGTTGAAACACATGTAAGATTTACTCTGAACCATATTCTATAAAGAATGAGTTGCCTCCTGTTCTCAGTTTGGAAAATCACTTTGCAAGTCTCAGTACCCAACTACAAACTGCAAACTAGTAATAAAATGGGGTTGAATATATACTTGTGTTATTTGGAGAAAAAACAATTCAAATATTAAGTAAGATCAAATGCTTTCAGGTTGAGACCTTGCTAAATGTAGTAACAGCTGTGATGAGGTATCATTACAGTCACCTCAGGTGGCTTTTCTATCAGGTATTTTTATCAGAATATTTCTAGTGAAATACAAAATATATTACCATGAAACTTTAACATAGCAATATTAAGACTGGTGTATATTGAAGATCCTCCATAGAGCCTTTTCAGACTTTATTCCTTTTTAGAAGACAATATTTACAAAAAATATACCTAATCAGAACTGATGTTTCTTTTGTTAACCCCTTAAAGAATACTTCCAACTTTTTGTCTCTGTGTGCCTGTCTCTGCATCTGTTTGTGATCTTTAAGATTCCTGTGAAACTGATGAGTTCAATCCAGATTTAAATATTATTCTCCAATCAAGCTTGGTGATGGCTGGCCTCCTAATCATGACAGCCCTTCTGCTTTATATCTGCAGGCTGAAGAAGTATGTGATGCTTATTTTTATAACTCTTTGTCAACTCTTTGCAACAGTGCCCTTTATTATGATTATAAAACCTAAGCAATTATTGAGATCAATTGGGAGCAAAGTTTTTTATGATTATGGTATGTTGCACCACCTTGATTCTTCCTTTTGTATTAAATGTCACTTTTAAACTGAATGCATTATTCCACTAAGATACCCATTGTTGTATGCATATTTTGGGTTGAGAAACGTTTGAAGGATAAACATGTCCCAAGATCCATATTAGGCTAGGAACCAGTAATTAGGCCAGTTTGCTTAAAAACATTGATGAAATAAAGTGATTATTGAAAGAGGAATTATTTTCAACATAGTGCAAAAAGAGGAAGTTGGCTGGAAAAGTGCCAGCAGCAAGAAATTGGGGGGGGGGGGGGAGAGGAGACTTCTAAAGAAAGTTCAAAGAAGGTCCTACAATATTTGCAAATCAAGCATAGACAGATTTGTTCACAATTTATGTACTGACAAAAGCAGGGAATTTATATAAATCCTTGTAGCTAATTAATACCTGCTGTGATTTTCATTCATTCTTACTGGATAAAATTAAAATACTGTATTTTCTTTCATTATAAACCCCCATTGGCTCACCTCCAGTGATAGATACTTAAAGTTTCCAAAGAACTAAAACAGAAGTGAAAGAGAAGTTTATTTTAAACAAGAATAACATATAGAGAAGTTTTACTGTTATACTTTAAACTCAGATTAAACTTTTTTCTTGAAGCTAAACTGAAGAATTGAAAATAATCTTTGTTTAGATTATCAGTGGGATACTGTCTCTTTTATTGGTAATACAGTACTTTATCATGGTAAACATGTTGCAATCTTCTACAATAGCATGCTTACTATGATTAAGTATCTCTAAAGAGATTCATTCATTTATAGAAATTCATTTATGTCCTGTTCAGTTTCAAATATGATTGCCACAGCTATGCTAACAACATCAGTTCTGAATTTATCAACCAACTCTGCCCCAGACCTTTAAATTATTCAGTGAATGGCTAGATATTCTAAATCTTATTAAAAATACTAGCTTTAGACTTTGAATCTTCACTTTTTTATGTTTTCACTTTTTCATCTGAAAGTTGTACTTCCTTTTCTTCTTACTGTAAAACTGTAGAAATATGTGTGGAGGTTTTTTAATTAAAAATAATTTCTGCAGGAAATTAACATAAATATTAATGGTTGTAAATTAATCACAAGAAGTCTATTTTTGGAATGTATTATTTACATTTTCTCTAATCAGTTTTCTTAATCAAGCTTTATCCTTAAATGGTTACAGAATTAGAAAAACACTGATGCCAGCCATACCAGACCCTAAAAATATATATTCTGATTTGTTCAGGGATCATAATGGAAACTTCCAGGTGAGTTATCATAGAATATTGAAGTCCTCTTCCTAATTTTTGATTGCCCTGACAACCAACTTTTTATAAGTCTATTTAAACTTGTTGATTCATTAGGTATCTCCAAGCTATTTTGCACATATCTTGCAATGGCCAGAGATTATTTATTTTTACAACTATTTATTGATTGTTCCTTTCTTGAAGCATTCTAGGTAGTTCATAATATCAAACAAAGCAATTAAATCATGACCTAATCAAAACAAATATCACCAATTTATGACAAGTAGAATTAAAATATGTAAAATAGATAAAAGTAAATTGATTATGCGCCACCATTGTTTTCTAGCCCTGGTGACCTCATACCAAAAATATTTATTAAACTATATCATATTCTTAATAATATGCACCATTTACTGGGCCAAATGATATATCTCAATAGATAAAAAATAGAGGGTGTGCATCAGAATGGTCTCAGAGATCATATGGTAAAGCAAGTTAATTCAGAACAGACTTTTGTTTATTTTGGTTGGATGGCTTGATCTGAATTTATTCCACTTCAGCTACTAGATTGCATGCAGTTGTTGTTCCAAACTGTTTCATAACAGTTGCACCAACAAAGAGAGGATGAAGGGGAAAATTTTCATAATTTTTAAGAGAAAGTAGAAATACACAGAATAACAATTTCAGTGACAAGATATCAAAATGTCCCTTAAAAACTTGAGAGTGGGGAAAAGGTTCACGGTTAAAGGAGATTCTTAAATTTATTATTAATTTTACTTAAAGATAATCCAACTTCTCATCCTAAAAACTGCTGGCAGTATTAGCAAGCTGTTGTGGACAAGAAATTAACTCTTTTTATTTTGATTTAACATTTATTAATTAGATTTATATGGCTATCCAGCTCACCTAAGGTAACTCTGGGTAGCATATGATAATCCAATAAAACAATGCATATAAATATATATTAAAAATTAAATATACCATGTATTTTATGGTAGTGAATTAATTCATTACTTTTCCTATTCAATCACTGACAGCCAGAATCACTATGTTCAGGAAAGGACATTATCAATATGAAATAACGCTCCATCCCTTTGAATAAACCGATGAATTCATGCATTAAGAATTGGTGTCGATGTTGCCCATCATAGGCTTAACTACCATTGTTACATAAAATGTGTAAAAATATCTGGAACCAAAAGCATGGAAAAGTCAGGGAAATTTGGTATATTTCTTCTCATAAATTTCTTAATCTGATAAAAGAAATTTATAGGCACCTATGTTTGGTCATATTCACAAAAATGAGAATTTGAAAGAAGCCAAAATTTACCCATCCCTGATCTGTATATGTGTTTCAGTGTTATCAGTCAGAATAAATGTCTGTATTTTCTGAAAGTTTATTTCTAACAGTGATAAACGTTTTTCTTTTTGTTACACTTTTAATTGTACCATAAATGCAAGTTATTTTTATTTAATATAATTATATATAATATTAATATTTTGTTTAATATAAGTATGATGTATTTAATATGTCGCTTTCCAATCTGTTGCTATTTCCTCTGACCAAGGAGATCTCATTACCTTTACCATAGCTAGCAGACTGTGATTATTCAAACATTTTAGACTACAATTCCCATAATCTGCCTTAGGTCCAATGATCACAATTGTTAAGAATTGTAGTCAAATGCTAAAGCCAACTGGTGGTTTTGGGCAAGTCACTGTCTCTCAGCCCAACCCACCTCACAGGGTTATTGTTGTGGGGAAAATAGGAGGAGGAAGGAGTATGTTAGGTTATTTATAAAAACAATGAAGGCAGGATAAAAATACATACATACAAAAATAATCAAAGATTAGGGAATGCTATGCTACCTGAATATTCCATGTAGTAGCAGCACCTTATAGATTTGACTGGTCTAAAAAAAATAAGCTGAATCAGATCTGGTTAGACCTTGAGTGATAGACTGATAGACTGGGCATACAAAGGATGTAAGTTCAATCAAGAAGTCAAAAATACATCTTGGAAGAAGACAAAGAAAGACAAATCACTTCCATCTACATAGACATTGGCATGGCATCTGTAAGGACCCACCTCACTTTATATCTTAAGAATACAGAACTCTTGGAATATCTTTTCCAACAGACATGTTGGATAAGATAAAATGATTGTAGGTGTGCTAGACAGGATCTGAGGAATTCTCTCCCTCCCTTCAATGTTTTAAGTGTTTTCAAACAGCCCCCCCCACTCCACAGTTCTTCCGGGCAACGATCCTCCTCCTCTCTTTTCCCAGACTCCAGGTGCTGCATTGTTCCCCCCCCCCTTTTCCCTTACTGCCACCAAAGGGAGACTTCAGAGAGTAGTAGTTGAAAGGTTATGGCCATATTGTCATGGTCAGTCCTCTTGGTGAGAATCCACATTCAGTCCCTTTGAAGTTTTAATGAAGGAAGTGAGAGCCATAAAATCCCTTTGCTCATTCCCCTTTCCCTTCATAGTATAACAGAATCCATAAAGGGCAGAAATGGGGTTTTCCATAGTCGATAACTAGAAATGAAATATAATTGGATTCTGACATCCTGCCCCCTTAAAAATAAGAGAGATCAACCTGAAAAGAAAACAAAACAGGTATAAAAGTTAGTCTGGCTTGTTAGGATACTCTATATAAAACTTCTTTAATAGCTTTGGGGCTCTGACATGACATTTATGGACTCACTTGTTTTGTGAGGCAGGGAGGTGTTCCCATGCTACTAGGTATTGAGTTGCTCCATGATATCTCCTAGAATCTAGGATTTCCTTTATCTTAAAGTGTTGTTCGCCTTCCACCCTGACTGGAGGTGGGGGGGGGATTTTTGGCCGTAAAGGTGACTGATGCTCTCTTTTCAGCAAGCTGCAATGAAAAATTGGGTGTATTTGCCTGAGATTTTTGGGTAATTCTAATTCTACTGTTACTGGGTTTATGATTCTTTTAATTGGAAAAGGCCCTATATATTTTGGTCCAACTTTTTTACAGGATTGTAGGCATTTTAGGTATTTTGTAGATAAGTACACCATTTCTCCTATAATGAACGGTGTAGGCTCAACCCTTTTTTATCAGCTTGTGCTTTGTATGCCTGCCTAGCTTCATCTAGTGCTTTTCTAACTATTGGCCAGGTGTTTTGTAATTGTTCCATCCATCTTTCAGTGATGGGATCACCGGTTTGTTTGCGGTTAGTTCTGGCATGGGGTTGAAACTTTGACCGGTAGCTATTTGAAAAGGAGTATAACCTGTGCTGGAGTGGACTGCATTATTGTAGGCCACCTCTGCGAAAGGGAGTAGGTCCGTCCAATCAGACTGTTGAAAATTAATAAAGCATCTTAAATATTGCTCAAGTACTGAGTTAGAATGTTCTGCTTGTCCATTTCCCTGTGGATGATGGCTAGATGTCAGTCTCTGAGTGGTCCCTAAGAGGGATAAAAATTCCTTCGAAAATGCAGATGTAAATTGCACTTTCCTATCAGATATGATGTGTTAGGATACCCCATGCAATCTGTAAATATGGTGGACGAAAAGTTTTGCTAAGGCTTTTGCGGTGGGAATCTTTTGGCAAGGGATAAAGTGCACCTGTTTGGAAAACAAGTCTGTGACCGTCCAGACAACAGTATTCCCATTGCTTTCTGGTAATTCCACTATAAAATCCATTGCTATTTCCCTCCAGGGGGCTGAGGGATTTACCACTGTTTGTAACAGTCTGGGCGATTTCCCTTGCAACCTCTTTGCAGTTGCACACTTTCTATGTCCTTTTTCATGTATGGCCACCAAAATTGCTGTTTAATTAAGTGTAATGTTTATACAAATCCAAAATGCCCTGCTGATTTTGTGTCGTGGCAAAGCTGCATGAATGTGACTCTTTGGGTTGTTGGTATATATAACTTTTCCCCCATCCAAGGAAGTCCATCTTTCATTGTGCACACATGTTTATTTTTCTGGAACCATTCATCTGCATCCAAACTTTTCCGGAATTCAATTCCGGGTTGGCTGCCCAGCTGTGGTTTTAATTTAGTTTAGGCTCTGGTGGTTACTGGCGCTGCCAAATGTGATTCTACCATCATTGGTTTAGAGTCAGTAGCTTGCGTGCTATTATATTGGGGCATGAGAGATCTTTCCCCCCGGCAAATGCTTGAGCGTAAAGTGGAATTGATGAAAATGCTGGGACCAGAGAGCTTGCTTGGGGTTGAGCTTCCTGGGTGTTTTCAAGGCTTCCAAATTTGTGTGGTCTGCCCAAACCTGGAAAGGGATTTTGTTGCCTTCAAGGAACTGGAGCCACATGAGTAATGACCAATGTATCCCGTATGCCTCTTTCTCCCACCCGGGCCAGCGCTGTTCTGTTTCGATGAGTTTCTTGGATGTATATGCATAGGTTGCAATACCCCTTCATCGTTTTCTTGTAATAGTACAGCCCCCACTGCCACATCACTTGCATCCACCTGTATTACGAAGGGCTTGTCCATGTCTGGGTGCCTCATTACTGGTTCGGCAGAAAAGAGTCTCTTCAATCTCTCAAACACCGCTTGACATTCCATTTTCCATTTTAGTGGCTGACTAGGTTTTACTGAGGATGCTCCCTTCATTTTTAGTAAGTTAGTGAGGGGCAGGGCTATCTGGGCAAATGAAGGGATGAATTGGTGGTAAAAGTTTGTGAAGCTCAGGAAACTTTATAGTTGCTTTCTTGTGTGAGATGGTGCCCATTCTAATACTGCTCTGACCTTTTCTGGGTCCATTTCAATGCCCTGTGGGGATATGTGATAACCTAGATAGTCTATCCTTTCCTGGTGGAATTTGCATTTTGATAATTTGGCATATAGGTGGGTGGCTCGCAGTTTCTTTAAAACCACTCTTACCAGGTTGACATGTTCCTCTTTTGATTGGTGAAGATAAGAATGTCGTCTAAGTAAACCAGGACCCCCTTATATAGGTGCTCCCTTAGTACGTCATTGATTAATTGCATAAATACTCTGGGCCCTCCTTGTAATCCAAATGGCAAGACTTTGAATTGATAGCACCCCACTGGACAGTTAAATGCGGTCTTCCATTCATCCCCTTCCTTAATTCTCACGCGATAGTATGCTTCCCTTCAATCTAGTTTAGTAAAAAAATTTCCTTTCGAGAAGTGTGATAACATGTCTTTCATGAGGGGTAGTGGGTATACGTTGCTTTCACTGATTGTATTCAGGAGCCTATAATCCACGCATAAGTGTAAAGAGCAGTCCTTCTTCTCTCTAAAGAGGACCGGAACAGCCACTTTTGGCTTGGCAGTTTTGATGAACCCCCTTTCTCGGTTTTTCTTTATGAATCGTTCCATTTCCTCCTTTTCCTTTGGGCTCATGGAGTATAATCTGGGCTTTGGGAGTTTTGCTCTGGGCTTGAATTCTATGGCACAGTCCATGGGTTGGTGGGGGGGGGAAGCTTATCTGCCCTCTCCTCGCTGAAAACTTCAGCAAAATCTCTGTATTCCTCTGGTATTTCTGGTAGCCCCTTTTCTTCTCCCATGGATGCTGTTTCCATTCTTAATTTTGGTGGATACCCTTGGGGTTTTAAGTCCATAGGATCCCCTTTCGGGAAATTGATTTCTGCCATCCTTCAATTCACTCAGGGTTTCCATTTCTTTAACCATTCCATCCCTAGGATCATCGGGCATTCCATGCCTGGGATCACTACAAATGTTATGTCTTCCTCATATTTGCCCAGGGAGAGGTGGATTGGTAAAGTGGCTAGGGTAGCTGGCACCCCCCCCCCCCGGCTATGGACCCATCTAACTGGCCAAATGAAATTGGTTGTTCCAGTCTTCTCGACAGAATGCCCAGGTTTCCCACTAGTGTCGAGCTAATGAGGGAGCGGGTGCAGCCAGAGTCTATTAAGGCTTTCATCTTGACAGCTTCGGGCATGGGGGGAATTAATATAGTTACTGTCTTGAGGAAGGGTGCAATTGGTCCACTTACCAGGGGTTTGCCCTCTGAGCTGTCGGCTGAGGTGTCCACCGGCCCTGCGGTGTAGGCGGGAGTTCTTTCCCCCTGATGAGCAGAGGTGGGGGATTCCACAGCCTCCATCATTCTCATAGCAAGTTCTTTTGGCTTAACTGGAGTCTTCCCGGATTTGCGGGCCAGTGATCTGTCTGGGTTGTGCTGGGGGGCTTTTGAGTGGCATTCTACAGCCTGATGCCCCTCTCTCCCGCACTTGAAACACCCCATTTGCTTCTTGGCTGTAGGCGATGGCTTCACTGGTTCATGTGTTGACTCAGGCAGTGAGTAGCTCCATTGTTTTTCTTGGTGGTTCTTTTTCAGTAGGTTGATCTCTGCTTCCTCTGCCAGGACGTACCATTTATCAAGTTGGTGTGAGTCTCCTCAGGGCAGGCAAACATCATATAGGTTGTAATTTAATCCATCTTTGTAATGGCTAAGGAGGATGTCTTCTGGCCAGTTCAGTTTGCTGGCAATGGCCCGGAATTCTTGTGTATATTCGGCTACTGGGCATTTGCCTTGCCTCATTGTTTTGATCCTTTCATGGGCTTTGCAATCAGCTAGGGTGTCCTCAAATTGCCTTCTCAGAGAGGACATGAAACGGTTGAAGTCGTTGAGCTCTGGGGCATTGGAGTCGTGCAAGTTCACCATCCAATCTGTGGCCGGCCCGTCCACAGCAGATTGCATGATCCTGATATGGGCTTTGTCACTGGGGATGTGCCACCCATATTCCTCCATGTAGCTGAGGACTTGGGTCAGGAAAAATCCCAAGCGTGTTGGCTCCCCTTTGAATCTCATGTCCAGTGGCAGAAGTCTTTGAATGGATCGGTGCCTTCGCTGTTGGTGGTATTGCCTTCCATCCAGATCACCATCTGTGAGTCGCCAGGGAGTGGGGACTACTGGATCAGTGGATGTCCCCAGGGCTGCAGTTTCCACTTCCCCCTCGGTGTCTCTCCAGTTGTGGCTCCAGAGCTGGTGTGGAGGTAGGGCTCAGAATTCTCCTCTCCTAGGGAGCTGAGGGTTCTCTTCATCAAGTTGATAGCTTTCTCTAGGATCCAGCTTTTGTGCGGTGCCCAGCTCCCTTCCTCTTTGCTTGCATACAGGGATTTCCCCATCTCCTGCTTCCATTCTGGTTGGGTGGGGCCCCGTCTCAGGGTCACCTTTCTTGATTTCTTTTCCCACTCGCCTTTCTTTCCAATGCCCATTGACCACTGAGGTTTGTGGTTGCGCGTCTCCACCACCTCTTCTCCTGAGGAATCTGACTTCTCAGATCCCGACATCTGACAGGTTTCCAGTTGGGGCAGCGGCTCTGTCTCTGGGGTTTTTTCTCCCTTCCCTGCTTCGTCGTCTGACATGGTATTTTTTGCAATGTCCCCCAGCAGGGTTCTCCCTTCCAGGTGGACTAATTTTGCAGATCCTGTCTAATGTAAGGACCCACCTCACTTTACATCTTAATAATTCATAACTCTTGGAATATCTTTTCCAACAGGCATATTTATTAAGATAAAATGATTGTAGATGTGCTAGACAGAATCTGAGGAATTCTCTCCCTCGCTTCAATGTTTTAAGTGTTTTCAAGCAGCCTCCCCACTCCACAGTTCTTCTGGGCGACGACCCTCCTCTCTTTTCCCAGACTCCAGGTGCTGCATTCCCCCCCCCCTTTTCCCTTACTGCCAGCCAAAGGGAGACTTCAGAGAGTAGTAGATGAAAGGTTATTGTCATATTGTTATGGTCAGTCCTCTTGGTGAGAATCCACATTCAGTCCCTTTGAAGTTTTAATGAAGGAAGTGAGAGCCATAAAACCCCTTTGCTCATCCCCCCTTCCCCTTCATAGTATGACAGAATCCAGAGAGGGCAGAAATGGGGTTTTTCATAGTCGATAACTAGAAATGAAATCTAATTGGATTCTGACATCATACTAGAAATCAAATATTGGTTCCAAAGAAAACTTGACTTTCTATTACCAGGTAACATGCCTGGAAGATACCTTTTAAGAAATCACAGTAATCAGTTGGTGATTTTTTTAAAGGAGTGGATTACTAAAACTGAGAATGTGCTGCCTGCAACACAGGTGGAATGTATAGAAAAAGAATGTATAATTGAAGAGGAAAAAGAGGAAGATCTCCAAAAAGCTAAAATGGAAGCCAAAGGTATGTTTTTAAAATCCAGTCTGTAAATATGGAGGCTGTATTACCTTTTTCCAATTTACATTACAGCTTTTGTTTGAAATTAAACTTTTGAACTGAACATAGTGATTTATAATGCCAAATTGCACTAGTCAATGAAGCTATGCTGGTTTTTCAAAAATGGGAAAGTTGCAGAAGAGAACAACTCACATAAATAGTAGTTGTAACAAATTCCTTATCTGGGCTTATTAAAAGGAATAGAAATACAGACATGATACAGGTATATACAAGTATCCATGTGACAATAGAAGATAATATTTGTAGCTCAGGGATAAATTGTGGGGTCTTTGGTGCTCTCTGAGCTTGGTTATTTTTGTGCAGACATTTCATTACACAATTAGGTAAGATCATAAGTGCTAGAAGAGAGTGAGGTTTGCACTGTTTATATATAAGTGGTCTGCCCTGTCAGTGTTGGAACAAAAGGCCAACATCCAATGAGGCAGCAAAGAATTTTAGAAACGAACCACTGGCTTAAAAACTGGTGTCATCAACAGAATTTTGGCTTTCTAGACCATGGTCTGCATTACCTAGAGCAGTGCTTTTCAACCTTTGTACCACATTTAGGATCTGGCAATATTCGAGTACCACCAGTCGCCTAGCAAGGTGTCAAAAACTTTGATGACCCCCCCCTCAAAAAAGGAAAAAAAGTGATAAAGTACAGGTAGTCCCCGGCTTACAACAGTCCATTCAGTGACTGTTTGAAGTTACAGTAGCACTGAAAAAAATAACTTATGACCATTTTTCACACTTATGACTATTGCATCATCCCCAGGGTCACATGATTTATATTTGGATGCTTGGCAACTGATTCATATTTATGATAGTCACAGTGTCCCAGGGTCATGTGATCCCCTTTTGCAACCTTCTGACAAGCAAAGTCAATGGGAAACCAGATTCACTTAACAACTGTGTTACTAATTTAACAATTGCAATGATTCACTCAACAAATGTGGCAAGAAAAGTTGTAAAATGGGACAAAACTCGTTTAACAAATTTCTCACTTAGCAACATAAATTTTAGGCTTAATTGTGGTCATAAACTGAGGACTAACTGTACACCCACTTACCACACTTTTAATGGGAAACCTGTGCCTATTTCTCTGACATTAATCTTTGCACTGTTCTATCCCCTTCTCTCCCTCTGCTTGTCTTAAAGAAACCTCTCCTCTTGTCTGTCTCTCTTTCTCCATCCCCTTCTCTTTCCCTGTCAACTTTTTTTCCTCTCCCTTTCCCTCTAAAACCTCCTCCTTTTATATCCTCTCCTCTCTTCTCCCTCCTCCTCCTTTTCTCTTTGGTGCAGTTCCAGCTGTCTCCTCTCCCCCAGGCTGCATACTGCTCAAGGAAGCGCCAATTAGCTGGAACTGCTTGCCGATCCTAGGTGCTCAACAGAGCCCCGGCAACACTGCAGCTCCAGCAGACTCTCCCACTTTCCTGTGCAGTGCTGCCATCACTTAAGCTCATCCCCCACTACACTTTTACACTTTTTTACACTTTTTTAACAGTGATTTTCAACCCTTCGTATGTGTACCATCTGCCAGGTGCCAAAGTACCACAAATGGTACCCATACCATGAATTGAAAAGCACTGATCTAGAGGAAGGGCAACTGGCAAAGGATAGACTGCACTCACAAGAACTGGAAAGAATATATTCAGAAAACAACGGGCTCATCTTATCAAAAGGGCTTTAAGCTAGAATTGAGGGGGAAGGGGGCCCAATCTTTACAACTTTTAGAACCTAATTCCAAACAAAAACCAGTAGATAACCAATCACATAAGGAGGTAGAGAGAAAAAAGAAATAAAAAAGAAAAACATAATGAAAGGATGGAAAACCCAGATTCAAAGTAGGAGATATAAGAAACATACCCAAGAAATATAGAGGACTCAAATGCCTATATACTAACACTCACAGTTTAAAATGAATTTGAAGTATTAGTACATGAAAGACAGATATGATATAATTGCCATTATTGAAACTTGGGATGAAACTCATGACTAAGATATTATCTAAGAATATGTCAATTAACAATAAGGAAAGTTTAGTTAAATCTACAGGTTTTCAGATGGTGAAAAAGGTTAAATATTTGGGAGTATATTTAACGGCTTCAAATGGAAAATTGTATAAGAATAATTTGAATTATTATGGGCAAAAGTACAAAAGGATTTAAATGACTGGAAAAAATTGCAATTGTCATTGTTGGGGAGAATTTCAGCTGTAAAAATGAATGTTCTACCAAAGTTTCTTTTCTTGTTTCAGATGATACCTATTTTTAAAAAAGATGTAAATTTGGAGGAATGGCAGAAGGGTATCAATAAATTCATTTGGGCTGGGAAGAAACCAAGGTTTAAGTTTAAGATTTTGCAAGATGCCCGAGAAAGAGGAGGACTTAAATCACCTAATTTGAAATTATATTATGACGCAGCCACCTTAACTTGGATAAGTGATTGGCTTAATTTAACAAATAAGGATATTCTTTCTCTTGAAGGCTGGGACTTAATGTATGGTTGGCATGCATAGTTAATTTTTAACAAGAAAGTTGACCGGGTTTTTAAATCACATATTTTGAGGAATGCTTTACTTCAAGTTTGGAAAAAGTATTATTATAGATTAAATTACAAAATACCTATCTGGGGGATTCCTGGGCACGCAATTGAGGGAATTTCTAAGGGGATGAATTTTGACAAAATTCTCGTATAAAGAATTATTAATTTGGTCAGGTTTGGACTGGCATTTAAAATCTTTAGATGTATTAAGGCAAGAAAATATTTTACAGTCATGGTTTCAATACTTACAAATAGTGGATAGGTGGACTGTAGATAAGAAAGAGGGAATAACATTAGAAGATGAAAATTTGGTAATTCAGATTAAAGATCAGAGTCAGGCTCATATAAAAAGAATCTATAATGCTTGAATAGAATTAGATTCAGAAACAGAATTGATTAAAGACTGTATGATTAAATGGGCTCAGAATTTCCAGGAACTGATCCCATTGGATTTATGGGAGATACTTTGGATCAGAAATATTAAATTTACACAAGCTCAAAACTTGAGGGAAAATTTTTATAAAATGTTTTATAGGTGGCATCTAAATCCTAAAAAATTATCTTGTATGTACTTTAATTTACAACCCAAATGTTGGAGATGTGGCAACATGGATGCGACTTATTTTCACGTTTGGTGGAATTGTAAAAAGATTTTTGGATTATGATTTGGTGGAACATTCAAAAGATTTTTAAAAGGAAGATAAAGTTCACTCCTCAATTATTCTTATTGGGTATTTTTGTGGATTTAGATGATAAAGAAACTATTTTAATGTTGAATTTATTAACTGCAGCAAGGTTACTAGTAGGTTCATATTGGAAGAAAGATTCGTTGCCTACTTTAGAAGAATGGATATTTAAAGTTTCTAATTTTGCAGAAATGGCAAAAAGTTCTGCTTATTTAAAGGATCATACACAAGAAAGATATATTATTGTATGGAGGAGATGGATAGATTATATTCAGAAGAAGTATGGGACTATAAAGTTTCATTTATTTTATGAATAAATTTTATAGTAAATGTTTTATAAGAGATTTGTTTATGATGATGTAATTTAAGGGGAGTTAAGGGCTAAGTATGATTTTTTTTCTCTTTCCTTTTCTTTTTTCTTTTTTTATTGTATATTGTTAATTTTGTTATTAATAACCCTGTACTCTGCTCTGGGAAATGAGGGGGGGTTGAGGGTGGATGGGTGGGTGAGTGGGTGGGTAAATAGGTAGAATAGGAAAATATAGATATGGTAATTTATGGAGAGGTGCTGCTTGGGCATTTCCCCTAGGCTGCATTCCTGTATTTGAGAGGGATGAGAGGGGAGGAAGGTGAAGGGAGGAAGTAGGATGGTAAGAGGAGAAGGGGAGGGGAAGAGAGCAGTGAGGGGAGGAGAGAAAGAGGAGGGAAGTAGGGAAGGTATTAGAGAGGGTGGATGCAGCTTGGGAGGAATGAGCAAGCGGCACCTATGGTTATGGTTATGATTATGAATTTATTTTATTATGTAAAGTGAATTTTGTTGTATAATTATGCTGGATAAATGGAAAATAAAAAAAATTATTAAAAAAAAGAGAAAGAAACACACCTAACAAAAGAGGAGGTAGAACTGCATTATACATAAAAGATCACTACATCTCTACAGAAATACACAAAACCAAGGATGAAAACCACCTATAATCCATATGGGTGAATATAAAAGGGGAAAAAATGGGCTACCCAACCAAGCCGAAGAAATAGATGAACTCTTTCCTAACCAGTTAACAAATTTTGTAGGAAATATATCACAGTAATAATGGGAGACTATAACTACCTTGATTGTAAGGACCCACCCCACTTTGCATCTTAAGAAGACAGAACTCTTGGAATAATTCTTCCAACAGGAATCCTTTATTAAGAAGAAGTGGTTGCAGGCGTGCTAGACAGGACTTGGGGTCCAAGCTCTCCAATTCAAGGTTTTAAGGGGTTCCCCAGTAGTCCCACCCAATCACCCCCCCTTCCAGTGATAGTTTCAGGCATCACAATTCCACCCCTTTTTTTCTTTCTTCCGTCTGGATGGAGACTTCAGATAAACTACATGAAAGGTAAATAACCTCCTTTGTTATGGTAAGGTTCTTTGGTGCTAACTACATTCAAACTCTTTGAGGTTGCAATAAACACATTCAGTTCCTTAGAAGTATACTGAAGGAAGTGAGGGCCATAAAGCCCCTTTGTTCTCCCCCTTCTCTCCCTCTTATGGCAGAATCCAGAGAAGGCAGAATTGGGGTTTTCTATATTTGATAATTAAAGATGAAATATAATTGGATTCTGACTTCCGGCCCCTCTTAAAAATAAGAGAGATCCACCTGAAAGAAAACAAAACAGGTATAAAAATTAGTCAGCCTTGTTAGGATACTCTGTGTGAAACTTCTTCAATAGCTTCGGGCCTCTGACATGACGTTT